GCAGTTTTAAAGCCTCCATCGATTATCGATGATTTGTTATTTACGATGAATTATTGTCTCTGATACACTTTCCTCAGCTCATTGGTCATTTTTGTTACTTTTCTATCCCAGGCCGCAGCAATCTCTTTTTAAGACATCCATTACATTTTATGTTAATTTGTTGGACGCATTTGTTTTCCAATTCTGAGGTGTCTTCAGAAGATCGTTCCACATCTCTAAGAACTTTCTTCGACTCAAGTGGTATTCAGGGCACCATTTTTCATGTACGTTTTTCGATAACAAAATTTGCGATACTCATAGGCCTACTACACGCGCAAGCTTTACCACAATTTTACATGGACGTGGCTCCCACACGGTACAGTTACGTACGCACAAACCACATTCTCGTCAAAATCGTCGTCATGGAAGAACTATTTCTTCTGTTGTTACATTTTAAGGTTTTGCTAATGAACAAAAATACACTGCTAAAGTCTAAACGTAAACGATCGAAGTGGATGAAGAATTGGCTGTTGAATAGAAAAATTCATTCACATATCAATCTATTGAAGGATTTAAAAGATGATTCAAACAACTGGCGAAATTATTAACGAGGGATGAAAATGCCTAACCAAGCAACCGCGGCTATGTATTGTTTATTTATACAAGGTGTAAACGTTATGGTAGTCATTATTGAAATGGGTAATAGGGAGAGGTCAAAACAAGTCAAAAAGTTCATCTGACCCATGGTCCAAAAGTCAATAGATTTTTGTCTAAATGGCTTTATAGTTTCCAACTTTAAGTGCTTTATATCGACCACAATCAAAACAATCTTACTAATTTTTATAATCTAATCTAAAACGTTTTTAAATCGTGTAATTAACAAATAAATGGCATTAAGTTTCTCTAAATTAAGCCAAAATTTGTAGTCTGTAAGTGAGTTTCATTAAATTGAATATTTAAAACACACATGAAAACAGCGCGTCGGTCCTCATGACTCTTATCGAACCGGCAATCGATCGCAAACAGAGGCTAGTATGTTGTTTTGTTTTTGTATCCGTACGTCGTCGTCTTGATTTACAATGTTCTCGACTCAAGAGTTCGCCGAAACGTTGTTAGTTTACGGTGAAGCTCGTCAGAATTCTCAAATCTTGCAGCTCAAATTTATGGCGACAGATTGCGTCAACGGGTACACCCAGACAGAAGGACATTTGTGCAAGTGTACCAAAGACTTCGAGATATAGGAAGTGTTTAGGCCACTAATATTCGCACTCGTGAAAGACAGGTTACTGTAGATCAGGAGGAACATATTTTAAATATCGTGGAAATCAATTCAATAACAACACTCGGAAATTACGCCGCCGCGTAGGACTATCGCATACCATAGTCCATAGAATCCTACGAGAAAACGTTTTAAAATAAAAATATTTGGGCGGGTATTCTTGACGATCAGGTAATTGGCCCTTTCGAGTTACCCCAATGTTGTCAGGAGAAGGATACCTTAGCTTTCTAGCCAATAACCTACCAGAGCTTTTGGAATAGACCTGAGACAACATGCCATTACAACGGAGACAGAATTTGTGGTTTCTTCATGACGGGGCACCACCACACATTTTTAGAGGCGTCATTCAGTATTTGAATGAACATTATCCATATCGCTGGATCGGTCGAAATGCTCCTGATCCTCGAAAATGGTCAGCAAGATCTCCTGACCTCAATCTGATCGATTTCTGGTATTGGGGAGAACTTAAAGGGATGGTTTATGGGGCTGGTCCAATAACAACTGAGGCACAACTTCGCGAAAAAAATTTTAATGCGGCTGAAATAATAAATGGACAACTTCGAAGATCTAGAGTAAGAAGAAACTGGGTTCGTCGTAATGAAGCTTGTGTGGAAAGTGGAGGATGACATTTTGAACACCTTCTTTGAATACAAAAAAAGTGCAGTGTGGGTTTTAACAGGAGAAACAATGTATGTATCAAAATTGTGTTCCCTATTTAGTGGATTTTTTTAATTCGTTCAATAAACTTGGTGGTAGATGGTCTCTGACTGTCGAACGCGGAGGTACCACCCGGCGGTTCTCGTAGGCGGAGCCAGAATGTGTGCATGTTGCAACACGTGTTCCCTCGCCAGAGTCCGTGTGGCGTCCCCCCTTTCCCATGTATCCCCCTATAGCCCCACGGTACCCAATGGGTGCTTAGGCCTTAGGCCTTCGTGGTAGTTGGAGTATAAAAAAAACTATGGAACATCGAAGCCTAATGAGCCGTCGAAATTATAAACGACTCGCACGGGCGCACAAAGGGGAATAGGGGGCCGTGGCCCTCCTGATAATCCGCCTAAAATTTGCATATTTAGCATGATTTTGTGTACAATTTTGGGAATTTTTAGGACTTACCCCCCTGAGAAAATCAGCTACCCCTCGCTCGGCAAAACATTTTAGAGGCAGGTGCTTTTCCACAAAAAAGGTCACCGACGTTCACCCCCTTCCTCCATGAGAAAAATTCCTGCCGACGCTCATGAAGGATTGTAGTGAGAGATTCCCTAGTCTTAACGCTCGGCTGTGCCATTTATTTTTATGGGATTTCACACCCTTTTTGCTGCTCTGGGTTTTTTGCTGTTTGATATGGTATCAGAACCGCTCTACAATCTCCGCAGACTATTTTGAATGCGCACGGCACTGTTCGAGTTTTCCAGACGTCGCTAATAAGCATGCTCGACTGGTCCGTTCTGCGCTCGTTTTTACCACCGCGCGCGTATCGAAAGACACGGGATTTTGACAGGAATGGCATGTTTAGAGCTCTTCTCCAAGGAGAAACCGTGAATAAATCTCCGTGTTTATGAGCGAATGATAATTGGACGGAGGGAATAAGTAAGGGCATAATGAAGGCTGCAGCCGTGCCTACGTCGGTAATTGTTTTTATTGCAAATGAACGCACTCAAATGTGCATGTTTATATCTTTATTTTTTCGTGCAATGAGCAAAGGCGCACCGATAGAGAGGCTCATCTTAAAGTAATTAATATTTAAGCAATATAACACATTTTACTTCCCACACCAACTGACGAGAATGTATTGCAAAAATTTCAAAAATGAGATCTGAAACGTTTTTTGGATGTTAATGCCACCAATTTCTGCCAGTCTGTCTGTCCGACAATCTGTCTGGATAATAGCTAATGCTTGCCCCTACTATAACTTAGAGAGCACGGGTCGGAATTTGATGAAAATCACTATTATGCCAGGGACATAAACGGCGTCAAGTAGGTTGACTCTGCACTTCCCACGCAACGCTGTCATAAAGGATTGTGTTCAGCATAAGTTAAATATCATTAAGTGTTAAATTGGACGTTATTATAACTAGTATAACGAGTAAATATAGCCGTGCAGTGTTGTGGCATTTCCAATAATTCATCATACCTGAGCATGCGCCCCTAACAGAATGTCTGAAAACAACTTTTTGAACAGGTATTCCAGATAACTGGAGATAATTAAATTAATAAGAAATTTTTACTTGAAATATTTACAGGAATCACCAATATTAAATCGTACCAAACTACGAGTACAGTGTGATACATGCCATATTTTCTTAAGCCCTAGATAAGGCGACAACATAGACTTTGAATCAGTTAGAGTCTACGAACTGAAGCTTGGTCTAAGTAAGGATAGAAAGCAATAAGGCATTATGTAATCTTAGAAAAAACTAGGATTTGACAAAGATGTCTTTTCAGTTTGAAATCGATGGAATGCCTATTGGCGAATAAAGGTTTTAGTACAACGAAGCAAATCTTTACTAATTTGGATATATGCTCACGAAAATGAAAATCCTTTTCAAGTAAGACAACCAAATCTTTTACAAGGTCCACATAAATTGGAGGAGTATCATTAGCATTGCCACTTTTTCTTCTACAAGATGGCACAATCAGAACTTCAACATGACGTTTCGTCTATGTCCTGCAGCATCAACTTCATTTCTTCTCATGGACGCTATATTGGATTTTTGCACAAATAAATAGAGTCTTCAATTCTGATTTGAAAGGCGTATAACGTGCCATACATTGAGGTTTCCAAACCACAGTTACTTAAAGACGGATCTTAGGTGGGACTCATTCTTATTTTTCCCTGACTATATTTGAGATTCGATATCGGAGTAAATTGCATTTTGTAAATTTAAATACAAAATACTACTACGGACAATATTACCTTAATCAAATATTATGTCAAGTTTATCGTGACATAAATCTATTACACTTATAACTAAATGCAGAATTAAAAATTGTGTTCGATTGCACAAAATTTCAATAGCGTGTTCAAAAAAACAAAATTGAGGATGGAGATTAGAAGGAGAGAAGTCTAATTGACTACACCCTCTTGTAGAGGAGAATGAGTGGCAATGCGAGTATGCAGTTTATTTTAAAGTCCCATTACAAATAAAACCAAAAAATAGACAACGATTTTCCTATAAATCCGATATACCAAACAAATTACTATCTGATAATTTCAAGGCATGCCTAAGAAATTCTATTTTTTTTTAATAACTAATGTTTGGGAATATCCATGTATGATACGTTATATATCTGGAATCAGAATTAAAATCTCTATTAAAAAAATTAAGTTGATGCTGGAGGACAAGAGTCAAAACGTCATATTGAAATTCTGATCACACCATCCTGTAGAGGAGGCAAAGTGGTTAGTGTGCAATTTATTATGAAATCCCACTACAAATGAAGTCAAGAAAAATTAAAACTATTTTACGAAGATTCGGTCTTCCGCCTCTCCCTGGAACTACTTTGAATTTCAAAACTTTCTAAGTGGCATCTTGTTAGTTACCTAAACGCGCAACTTTGCCCCCATTTTAAGCCACTCCGATGTCTTACCAGTTCCGATATTCCAATGGTGAGGGTTCGAATTTGGAACACTTGGTATACGTGCTGCATATATAACTATATGCAGCACGTATTTTAATTTAGTAAAACGAACTTGTTTTCATTATCCGTAATATTATCATTTATTTTTCCACTTTTCTTTCAGGTGAGTACCTTAGCATCAGAAGATGAACTATTCAAAATGTGAGTATCTATGTGTATTGGAAATGGCATACGAGAAAGGAAAAACGAGTTTCATGCCGTCGATTGTTTGAAACTGGCAACTTTTGCCTAGCAGAAATCCGAAATGGGTTAAGTCAAGCCGAAATCAAGCGAGATACAGTTTTTATCAATAAATCAACTATCCTATCAATCCAGGATTGTCTATCAATATATTTTCTCACCGACTCATCGACAGACTCGTAATAATATCGAAATTACTTCTATCTTTGGTTCGTACCAAGAGCGCATATTTAAATTTTCTTCCATATTGTATAAGGTTCTTATGTCCATCTCCAACGATTTCTTAAGGAAGTAGTTACTACTTCTACAATTTTTTTTATTTCCAAACTGAATGTTACCTCCGAACTACATGATTATAATAAATGAATGTATTTATGTGCAAATCTCCTGCATGACTTCGTATAAATACTACCTTCGATTATGCCGATTCAGCAGAAGATACGGTGTAGCCGCATCGTCCGGTGAACCGACCGACTGGCTGCTGTAATAATCTGCTCTCCATATCCTGTTGTCAGAGGATTTTCGGATTAACGTTCAATGCACTCACTACAAGTCTTTGATATCTCGTTGAAGGGAAGCGAATCAAAAAAGAAAATTTAAGTGCATTCCGTTATCTTGAGGTCTGTAAACGATTTGCATATCTTTTTGTAACAATAATCATGCTCATATGAACTAAACTTTTTTGAATTCATAGGTGTAGATGATATCCAATTACTGCATTCGTTTGAGGGGTGGTAAATACAGTTAAAATCTTACAACATGCCTAAGGTTAGTAGAACTGGGAAAAGCCCCCTCATATAGATTCCTCCACAATCTCGAGACCCTACACATAACTTAACCTCCAACCCGAAAATTTAAAAAAATAATCATAACTTTCAGTTAAAGGATTGTGCAAAAATTCTTGGAGTTGCTTACAATATACAGGGTGTCCCGAAAAAAGTGTGCAATATTCTACCAGCGGTTTTTAAAGATTAAAATAGGAAGAAAAGTATATATAAACATAGGTCGACAAACGTCCCCTAAGGGTGCTACGGTCTTTCCTTCCTTCTAGCCTAATTTTTTATGCTGGATTTAAAAATATTAACAATTTTAGTCAGTTTTGCTTGGAAGCATATGTAACAGGGACGGACTCAGGTTATTTGAGAAAATTTAGGGTTTTCTACATAAAAAGGTACTCTTATTGAATATCGCTAAATTGTGCCATTTTTGAATAAAAGCGAACTAAAAATTTGTCACATGAAAATGCTAACATTTAGGCAAAAACAAAAGAAATCAATTTTTTCTACGGACGAAATTGAAATTTGTTTAAAAAAGTAGACATACACTTGGATATACCTACTTAAAACTAGCTTGAGAATAAGTGTTCAAATAAATTCCCATTTTGTTGGATACAGAGTCTCAATCGACGAACTAATGATTGCTTAGCCCGAAAGGTGGAAAACCGTTTTCTTCTTATTTCATTTGCAGCCTGATGGATTGTTTGAAGTAAATTTTCTTGAGTATTTACTTCAGTCGAGTAAACTAGGTCTTTTAATGACCCCCAAAAATAGAAATCCAATTGATTTAGGTCAGGTGAACGTGGCGGCCACGCTATAGGACCTCCTCGGCCTAACCACCTGTCTGGAAAATTGACATTCAACCAATTTAGAACATTGCGTCCAAAATGTGCACGGGCACCATCATGTTGAAAAAACATATTTTCTTGAAACTGCTGGCGCACATTCCATGAGCTCATTCTGAAGCAAGTTCAGATACACCTCTGAATTAAGACGATTGGGAAGTACAATAGGCCCAATTACTTGATCCCCAATTACTCCTGCCCATAAGTTCAATGAAAATCTATGTTGGAAATTTGTACGGCGAACAACTTTTGGATTTTCATCTGACCAGTGATGCATGTTATGGAAATTAAAAGCACCATTCCTAGTAAATATAATATATAATATTCTAGGAATAGTATTTTCATTTGCTAATATCCACTGGCAAAACTCGATTCGTGGTAAAAAATCTGCCTCCGTTAAATGCTGCACGCGTTCAAAATGATGAGGATGTAATCCTTGTATTCTTGTCATTCTTCCTATCTAAAATTATTATTTTTAGGATAACTATCAAATAGGTATTCATAAATTTTTTTTACTATTGATCGAGGTATATCCATATTTTCTGAAACATTTCGTATGCTTATTTGCGGATTATTTTCAAACATATTTAAAGCAATATCCATACGATGATTTCCCAGTGGCCTTCCTGAGCCCTGCATGCGCTGAAAACTTCCATGGTTTGACAAATTCCGGTGAATATCAGTAAACATTCGACGTCCAGGTACTATGCGATTGGGAAATCTTTGATATTCTCTTACGGCTGCCAATGAACTGCCATTGCAAAACCCGTACACAAAATGCCTGCTAGTCAGTCAGTTCTCTGTCTGTAAATCTTGGCATTTTAAATCGATTTAATAAAAACTTTGATTTTAATCTAGTAATTGTACACTGCCAGCAATGTCAGCTTAACGTCAAAATAAGTCATAACAAATCAAAACAACGATTGTTTGCAGTCATGGCTAACTATGTACAATAAACAATTCATTTAAATTCGCAGTACATTTCCTATCATGTGACAAATTTTTAAGTTTGATTTTATTCAAAAATGGCACAATTTATCGATATGTAATAAGAGTACCTTTTTCTTATTTTAAAATTCAATTTCAAAAATAGAATCACACAAAAATTTTGGAGCTAAGATAACCTGAGTCCGTCATTGTTACATACGCTTCCAAACAAAACTGTCTAAAATTGTTAACATTTTTAAATCCAGCATAAAAAACTAGGCTAGAATACCAAATTTTATGTCTTTATCTCAACACGTTTCGGAAATATTAAGGAAAAACCATTGTCAGCCCCTTTAAAAGACCGTAGCGCCCTTAGGGGATGTTTGTCGACTAATGTTTATATAGACTTTTCTTCCGATTTTAAGCTGTAGAAACCGCTGGTAGAATATTGCACACTTTTTTCGGGACACCCTGTATACATATTGAGATTCATTGAGCATGTTAAAAACTCGAAAAATTTATCTAAGGTTGCAAACAGGTATTTTTAATTACGTAAAAAACTGCCGTAGTGTTACCTACGAGTATATTAAATTACTGTAATGCTTTATATTTTGTTCTTTAGACCATTTGACTACAAATACAATCCGAATAATACAAAACAATGTTGTCCGCTTTATTTTTAGACTACGTGAACTGCATCTGCGTAAAATAACCTATACTTCAGTTGGTTTTGAATAAATGACCTTGTGAAATACTATGATTTAGTGTTTATCCATAAACTGATTTTAACGTCAACCTGAATATCTCAAAACAAAAATTATATTTAATAATCAGATATATAACAGAACCCTGAGTAAACAAACGTATCGTGATACCTCAGCATAATTGAATCTTGCATCATGATTCAAAACTCAAAAAATTTAACCAACTTTTAAAATTTGAAGTTTGAGCTGACGAGAAAAACAAAGCTTGTGGTGTTATTAAAATCCAGACCCGTCTAAAAGTCGTCAGGAACTCGAACAGATGCAAAAATCAAGTTTGAGGACGTTTTCAACATTTGTCTTTTCCTCATAACTCTATCGCTACAGCTTCGTCACGGAAATCCGAGTGACGATTAGAATACCTTGATAGAAGAAACTTTGCTCTACTTCTGTTTGATGTTTCACCTAGAGGCCTAACGTAACAGGGCTGATGATTGCTAATAAGCATCAAACGCTTGGCACTATGCTGGTCGGGCGGACGAAGCAAGTACTACAGGTTTTCAATACCGGGTAGACCATCATCTATTATATCGCCAGAATGGACAGTACCATCCGGTCACAGTGATGACCCGGCTGTCGACGCGAACTGAGTTGCTTTAGTGTTTCAATAGGTAATTCCTGTTCACTCTCGTAGTAGCCAACTCTGATAATAGATGGCACTTTGTGGTATCGTACTTCGATAGACTTTATACCTACGATCGAGGATACTTTGCTCTGCTTTCAATTGTTGGCTCACCCTCACCTAGAAGTCTATACTAGACCATGCTTATTATTGCCAACAAGCATCAAACAGCTGTACACGTTTGGATCCTGGTGGTATTTATAAAATATGATAAAGTCGATTTGGTTGAAATTTGTTACAATTATTTGTGAGCAATAAGGCGCTTATTTAACTCCAATTAGAGCCATATTATTAAGGAAAAAAGTATGCCAATGCCTTTTTGTACTTTTTTTATTTTTTTTTTTGATTTAATCATCTAAAAATGCAACTTTCTAGTGTCTTGTGTTTTCTTCCTATCCTGTTTAATATGGGAATAAGCATTCAACTATGTTCTCAAGGGATAGTTTTTAGAATGGGTTGAAGTGATTTTCATTTTTCTTTCTTCGAAATCGAAGCTAGGTATTAAGAAAGCACAAGAGACCAAGAAATTTAGTTGCCTAATCTGAGATAACTACAAGAAAAGTCACTGGTGAAGTTTTTATCTCAAAAAAGCATCAGCGGTACTCAGAAACGAAGCAACTCTGGACATAATATGTGCAGAGAAACTTTTTTTAATTGAGTCGACCTAACGAATCACCCTCTGAAGTTTCCTACCCTGGCACACTGGTGCCAATTAAGAAAATCATTTACTTAAGGTCTAATTAATCCACAAATCTAATTTTTATTCTGTAGTCAGGTCATGCTATTATAAACAACTTTTATGAGTCACATTTTTGTCTAATGTGGCCTAACTTTGAAGAAAAAAATTGTGCTTAATTTCTTGTCTAGAAAAAATCACACTTTCATCAATTGACAGTGCACTTATCACGGATCGGGAGTGGGACTCATGATACATTGTAGAGGGCGTCGACATTTAATTCATAAACACCTATTGCAAAAGTCTGCAACCCAAACAGATACTTTAGTTCTCCTTTTTAAATCATCAACTTTG